AGACATCCTAGGTTTGACAGACTGTTGGATATTGGAGTCTGGGTTTGTTAGAGAAGGCCAGATCCGGACATATAAGTTGGGAGTCCTTGGCATATAGGTGTTATTGATAATCACAGAACAGAATGTGGTCCCAGAGAGTGAATGTAGAGAGGAAAGAGCTGATGGCCATGTTGGAAAGCAAATGAGGAGCTGAGAAAAGAGGTGGAGAAGGAGAATTCAGTAGGGCAGGAGAAAGGATGGTGGAGAAGAAGCAGTCAGTGGGACAGGATGAAGTCACAGGGAAAAGGGAGTGTACCCTGACCAGAGCTGTTTCTAGGTAGGGAAAGAGGAAAGCTGAGAAATCACCATTGGTTGAATAACCTGGAAATCATTAGAGACCTTTTGAAGAGGGAATTAATTCAGAGGACTGGTGGGGACAAGAGCTTGACTGAGTGGGTTCAGGAGAGAATGGGAGGAAAACGGGGAGGAAAGGTGATAGACAACTCCAAGGAATTTTACCCTCAAGGAGAGTAGAATAAAGAATAAAAGAGAGATTGCTGAAAAGTGATGTGAGATCAAGAGAAAATTTCTTTAAAGATGAGACCTCTTACATCAGTTTGTGTAGTGAGGGGAATGATGCAGAAGAGGATGAAATATGATAATAGTGGAAAGGGGAGAATCGCATTGGCCATGCCCTGAGGCGTGGACATCTGTTCACTCACTAGCAAACTTGGGTCCCTGCTCAATTTCCCCCGCTGCCTAGCTAGCCCCCCTGGGCTGAGCACTGGGTCAAAGTGGGGACTCTGACACCCTCATCAGAGTCGCTGCCGGCTCTGGAGCGGGTAGCAGGACATAGCCCATCAGGATAGTCAGCACTTAGGTGGGGTCGCTGGGCTGCTGGCCGCTGACTGCGGGGGGTCGGCGGTAGGAATTGGTCAGGATTGAGAAACGATTCGGGCCAGAGCCAAGGGTCCCTCCACCTGTGTCGGCTGTCATTATTTTCTGCCTTCGGTGGAATGTTCTGCAAACTTAGCTTCACGCTCCCCTGTGTCCTCCTCAACTAAGCCCACCTCGAGGTCCCCCCCACCCATTAACTCTCCACCAAATCCGTCCGATTTAGAAATTCTGGAGCCGCCGATGGCTGTGCCTTACGGCAAACTGTGCCTATCTTCACGACGGCCCTGTGAAGCGAGTATTATTGTCCCATTTTTCCGAGTTGGAAACTAAGGTTCACAGCCAACTCAGATCCAGATCTGTGTGGTTCCCAAGTAGACTTTCTTCTCGCTCCGCCAGCTGGAGGCGCAAAGGGCCAGGAACGCGGAGGGTTAGGCTCCCAAACTAGGTGTCCAGCAGCCGAGACTCGGCCCAGACTCCGCCCAGGCTCCGCCCCACCAACGGGACGAAGGAGGGCTGTGTCTTAGAGCTCAAAGCGAGATGGGACCTGATGATTGGGTGGGGCGGAAGGATTGGGTGGGGCTTCCCACTGCCCGGGCGACGGCGACTTTGGAGGGGGCGGGGCATCTGGCTCCGCCCCCCTACGCGGGCTCAAAGCGGATGGCAGCGGCGGGGGCGGGGTCAGAACTCGGGCGGCGGATCCCAGCGCGGCTCTTTGGAGCCCGCCGCGGAGCAGCGCCCCGGCGGGGCCCAGGAGGTACTTGCGACAGCGCGGGGCGTCTCGGGCCGGATCAGGCGGGGGGCAGAGGCCTAATGGGGACCACAGAGGGGGCTGGGGGTCGTAGCCAGCTCTGCACGTCCTCCGGTGGGCCGTCGCCCCTACCCCCGCCCCCGCCTTCCTGCGGCGAAGCCGGCTGTGGCGGGGCTGATTGGCGCCTGCGCCGCTTCCTGCGCCTGGGACTCGGCCAGTGCTTGGGGCCCAGGCTAGGGCCCGGGGGAAACTGAGTCACGTTGGGACGGTAGCAGTCGTGTGTGGGAGGCAACACCCCCGCCGGGGTGCAGGATAAATCCGCTTCCTGGCCATGCTTTGGAATCCCAGCCCCCACCATTCCCCCCAGGGGCCGCGCCCCCGCCCAGAACCCAGAGCTCCCAGGGGTCCTGCCCTGGCTCTCTGTAGCTTTGACTGGGCTTGGAATGGCTAGGATTCGCTCCAGCCGCCTCCCTCCACCCCTCTCCACCCCTCCCCCTCGCGGCCCAAGCCCCCGTGTTCTCTCCGCACAGTGTCAGTTTACACGCCTTATATAGTCCGAGCAGGCTCCAGCCGAGGCCTGCCTGTCGGGACCTGGGGGCGGGGGAGAGGAGCGCCGGCCCTGGACTGGCATTGCTGTCCAGACCAAGGCTCAAGACTGGCTGGGAAGGAGGTCATGCCAAAGTAGTCCTGCGGTCCACTCCTGGATGAGAGGAACCTGAAGACTAGATGCGGGCTCCCTTCACCGCCCCCCTCCTCCGCCCCAGTCCTTTGGGGAAGGGGGATTGCCCCTGTCTTTCCAAAGTGAGTCTGCCAGCTAGCAGCCCAGCCCGACCTAACAGGGTGCCCGCCTACCCTCCCGCTGGGTGTGCTCAGCGTCTGCCAGTGCTTGCCTGGCGCTAGTCCAAGGCTGGTGTCCAGAGTCGGGCCTGCCTGTGCACCCACCATGCATCACTCACCTTTTCTCTCCTCTCAGGAGCAGCACTATGGATTCCTTCAAGGTGGTGCTGGAGGGGCCAGCACCTTGGGGCTTCCGGCTGCAGGGGGGCAAGGACTTCAATGTACCTCTCTCCATCTCCCGGGTGAGCCTAGATTGAGGGAAGGGTGCCCCTAGGGGTCTCTGTGTGCTCAGATCTCCAGTGGGTGGCAGGAGGAGTCTGAGCAGGAATGAGACCAGGAGGTGTCCAGGTCCAGAGCTGTGGGCACCTGCCACAAGGACTCCCAACTCGGTAGATACTGGGAAAGGAGCCCTCAGACTTCTACAGCACTGCACTGCACCTTCTAGGCTCAGGAGTGTGCCCATTCTTCAGGAGGTGAGCCTGAGGTCTCCAAGAAGTGTCTATAAATTGCTTGAGGAGCAATGCTTGGTGCTCGGCCTCTGGGAGGGCACTCTGACTGCAGGAGCTCACTTCATCCTCATTGCCACCTAAGGGATAGCAACTATCATCCTGTTTGTTCAGATGAGATAACTCAAGACTCATTGAAGGGACTCTTTCATCAGTTCCATGGCAAAGCAGGCATGGGGCTTCAAACACAGGGTTGGCCTGCAGTTTTTGTGGGTGGATAAGCTTCTCCCCAGCCCAGGTGAGGACTTGTATCCCATTCACTGGTCCCATTCAGGATGCAGTGCTCTTTGGGTTTCTAGGGCTCTGACTTCCAACTCCTGAGAGCCTGTCCTGGTGGGGGTGGAGCTGGAGGCTGGCTCCTCCCTGTGGCAGGGGGATTGCCTTATAAGCCCAAGAATGCAGCCCCATGCTGGGATAGCCAACTGGTGGCTGGAGTCTGCAGAGCTCAAGAAGGCTGGCCTAGGCCTGGAACCCTGAACCCCATCAGTGGGCCCCTCAGCCGATCACCAGTCTGTGGCTCCGACTGTGGGATCAGTTGTGGGACACAGGGAACAAAGTATCTGCCCTGAGAGAGTGAGGCCAGCCCTTGGGTTGGTGTCTCTTGACTGTAGTCTGGGGGTCAGGAGAGGGCAGGGACTTCCTGTCCCCATTTCCGCTTGTCCAGAGAGGCCCACCCAGGCTCCTGGTCGGCAGGCAGCTATTGGCTTGAAGCCCAGGGCAGGCACAGCCTGGAGGGGTCTAGAGAGCCCAGCTCGAGAGGGGCCCAAGGTAGAGTCTGTTGTAGTTGGGCTTGGTGGCCAGGACCTGCAGGCAGTCACTGTTCCCAGGGACCCTTCTGCGGGGTTTCCTGGAAGCTGCTTTGCCAGCAAGGTAGCTAAGGGCACTGGTCTCCCTATTACATACCCCCAGCCCGTACATAATACTCAAGCCTTGCCAGCCCTGGGAACCCATCCTATACTCCCCTTCCTGGGAAAGTGCTGGTCAGTGTGGCTGGGAGCTTGGCTGACCTCTGAGCCTCAGTTACTTCATTGGTGGGGATGGGCAACAAAGCAGCCTAAGGGATGGACTTTCAGATGTGGCCTGTTGGGGGCACTCTGAGCTCGGGCCCTGTTAGCAGCCCCAGCATGCGGGTGGGGCCACCGGCTGAGCCCAGCCCTGGAGTTGGACCTAGGCCCTGGTGGGTGGGAGCGAGGGTGGTCTTTTCTGAGTTGGGCTGGGCCCCCTCCCTCTCTCCTGACCCTAGCATGGAGGAGGAGAGGGAGGGGCTAGGGCTGGCTGTAGGCCCAGGCCTGGGAGATGAGGTAACGTCTGGGACTTGGGGGTTGGGCTGCTCAGTGGAGCCCTCAGGCTGACTCACCCCCTACTCCGTGTAGTGTCCAGCCCCCTGGCTTTTTCTCTCCTTGGTCCCTTGGGCCTGCTTGCTTTTCTCTCCAGACACACCCCACCCCCCATCCCCAGGTCTCTTCTGCTCCTGTCTCCACCTCTGACCACTTCTCTGTCCCTCCTGTGTCCTCCTGTCCTCCCCATCCCAGAGAAGGAAGTAGTTGCCAGTTCCCCATCCCCTCTCTGGGAACCAATAGCTCCAGCTCAACCAGAGACCCCCCACCTCCGTGGGCTTAGCTGACACTTCCCGGGAGCCAGCCTGTGTGTGTAGGGAGTGGCCAGACCAGGTTTCCCTTCTACTGACTCACTGTGACCTTGAATAAGTCACTTCCCCTCAAGGGCATCACTTCCCCATGCCCATTATAAGGGGTTGGATTGAACTAGAGGTAAGACAGGGGATCCAAGCCCCAAACCCAGCTTGAGGGTCAGAGAATCTTTCCATTCAGAGGGCTGTCCTCTGAGCCCCAGCTCTCAACAATTCCCTGGTGGCTCAGATGGTAAAGAATCCTTCTGCAATGCAGGAGACCTGGGTTCGATCCCTGGGTTGGGAAGACGCCCCTGGAGAAGGAAATGGCAACCCACTCCAGTATTCTTGCCTGCAGAATTTCATGTACAGAGGAGCTACAGTCCATGTGTTAACAAAGAGTCAGACACAACTGAGGGACTAACACTTTCACTGTACTTTTCTCAACAGAGGTGGCCTAACAGGGTGGAGCCTTAGAGTCAGGGTCCTGGCCCTGCCTCTTGAGTTGCTAGCTAGGCAACTAGAGGCAAGTTACTTAACCTCTCTGTTTTCCCATGTATAAAATAGGTATATTCCCAGACTCTCCTCCACAGGGTTTTTCGAGGATTCAGTGTGTGGTAATACTAGGTACTTGATAAATGTAAACTGCTGTTAGTACTTAGCAAGTAAAGAAGGGGCTGCCCAGTTGTCTTACCCTTCTGACTTCTGAAGCATGAGGTAGAACCATCAAACCAAGCTCTCTCTTCTTGCCCTAGTGCGATCAGTCTCTGGGTCTAATCCCTCTGCCACCTCTCTGGAACCTCTTACCTCCTCTCCCTGCCCGAACTTCTGAGTATCGGCCCACCTGAGGAGCCTTATGACAGCCTGTACTCCGCAAACCTCCCCGACTTGTGAAGTGTGATTCTGCCTCCTAGTACTTCCCCACAAGCCAGTTCAAGGCCAAGCCCATTGCCAGATGGCCAGGCAGCCCTGTGGGCTTAGACTTACGAACCACAGTGCTACTTCTGCCTGTGTTGTTGCCACTAGTCTAGAGGACTAGGAGGGCCCAATTGGGTTCTTCAGGGTCACCTATATCAAGACCCTGGGAAATACCCACCCTGGGCCTTAAAACTGGTGCTACCTAACCTTGAGAACAATTCTTTCAGCACTTGAGGTCTTCATAAGTGTTGGATTCTCTCACAACCTAGGCAGCCCATTCCACTCTGTTTTCGCCAAAGCCCACCACTTCCCAGAAGTCATCTTCATGGTTTCAGCTTCATGCTGTTGACCGTTCCTTCCAGCCTGCTATTACTCCTCAGTTGCCATGGGAACCAGGGATCCCCAACGCAGAGCCCAAAGGATTGTGGGGAGAGGCTGATGTGGCAGTCGAGGGCTTGGGGTTGACACCCATATTTACAGCCTGTGAAGCCCCCAGCTGACACTCTGGGCCCCATTTGGGCACTGATCACTGGGAACCTAAAGGTGATGGGGGGGTATTTCTGGTGCTCCAAGGGTCCTGGTGGATCCCTGCAAATGGCACCAGGACTGGGTGCTAGGAGTGTAAGAGGTGAGTGAGCACTCAGGGAGGAACTTGCCACATGCACAAGCCAGAGGGCAGGTCTGGTGGGTGGGATGGCCTGGGCAAGAGGCCAGCAGAGACCTCAAAAGCTTCAGTTAGAGCTGAAGCACTTGGGTTTTAGCCTGAAGGTGGCTGCATGTTGATGTCAGCAGCTTCTGAACCGTGAGGAGGGTCCCTGGAGGTGAATGAATGTGTAAGCGGAGTGCTTGAGGTGATGGTGAAGCTCAAGCGAGCCCCACCCCCTCCCAGATGGCTTTAGTATCCAACAGTAGTCCAGGAACACGTTGAATGAAGAGACCCCTGGGTTCTGCCAGTGGGGCAGCTGAGGAAAGGCAGGGTTGGCTGCTATTTGCCTGAGTTTGGTCAGCAGAGTCTTGGCCCTCCATGACCCTCCGTCTCTCCATAGCTCACCCCTGGGGGTAAAGCTGCACAGGCCGGCGTGGCCGTGGGTGACTGGGTGCTGAGTATTGATGGCGAGAACGCGGGGGGCCTCACACACATCGAAGCCCAGAACAAGATCCGTGCCTGCGGGGAGCGCCTTAGCCTCAGCCTCAGCAGGTAAGCCTGAGCTGAGCAGCCCTGGCAGGTGGGCGTGCCCTTGGGCGTGGCCCATCATCACCGCTTCCCCTTCTCTTCTAGGGCTCAGCCGGCTCAGAGCAAACAGCAGAAGGTAGGGGATGGGCTTGGGATATGTGGGCAGCAGGCGGGGTGGGACTGGACATCCAGGCTCACCTGCCCGCCCTGGTGCAGCCTTGGTCCCCCCCATCCCTGGCCAGGAGTAGAGGGTGGAGGCCAGAGCTGGGGAGTCTGGGAACTGGGAGTTGGGCCAGGGACTGCCGCACGGTCAGAGCACCATGCATGTCTGCCTGTCGGTCCATCCGTCTGCCTGCCTGCCTCCTTCCCTCTCTCCCGCCGGCCTGTGCTGCAAGCTGCACTAGCCCACCCGCCCTCGGACTGCGTGGGCTGAGATCATTGCTCCCAAATGGGTCCCTTGAAACCTGAGTCTCCCCCTCCCCGGAGCCTCAGGCCAGATGTGTGGGGGTAGGGCTGGAGTACCGCTGGCCTCTTCGTGCCAGAGGACGCCCCACTCTGGCCAGATCCCCCGCCTCCTCCCGCCCTGCCCGCCCTCCCCGCTCTGTCTCTGCCCAGGCCCTGGCCCCCGCCGCGGACCCCCCGCGGTACACCTTTGCACCCAGCGCCTCCCTCAACAAGATGGCCCGGCCTTTCGGGGCGAACCCGCCCGCAGACAGCACCCCGCAGCAGAATGGGTACGTCTGTCCTGCCCGTCCACGCTATCTATGTCTCCACCTCCGCACGCCCGCCGGCTGCCCGCTGCTGCTCTGTCTGTGCTGCGCCCCAGCCTGGCCCGAACCGTGCGACAGCGACCCCTGGTGGCTGGGGCGGGTACTGCAGGCACAGGGGTGTGGCTCCTGCCTTGGGCCGGCCCCCCTGGGGGCTGTGAGCAAGGCAGCGCCGCCCCCTACGCGGTGGTCGCCTGGGGTTGGGATTTGATGTTGGCGGACTGAGCCCAGATACTCAGTGCAGCCTTCCCCCTGGCTATTCTGACCCCTTGCCATCTTTCTTCCTCCCCTTGTCTATCTCTTTGTACCTTTATCTGTCCATCTGTCTTATTTCCTTCACAGGTGCAGACCCCTGACAAGTCAGTGAGCCCCCTCTGCCTGTCCCTCTCTTCCTTCCTTTTGGCACTCTGGGTGGTGGCCCCTCCCCACTCTGGCTGCCGTCCTTTCACCTTGATTGCCCTCCTCCCCTCTCACTTCCCTGCCCCGCCCCTCACCCAGCAGGGCCCTGACCTTGCCCGCCCCTCTTCCCCTCACTCTTGCCCACCTGTATCAAGTCCGGGGAGGGGCCGCCCCTGCTGCCCAGCCCGGCTTGAGGTTCTGAGCCCCACCCTCCCCACAGACAGCCGCTCCGACCGCTGGTCCCAGATGCCAGCAAGCAGCGGCTGATGGAGGACACAGAGGACTGGCGGCCGAGGCCTGGGACAGGCCAGTCCCGTTCCTTCCGCATCCTCGCCCACCTCACGGGCACCGAGTTCAGTAAGTGCCAGCCCAGGGAAGGGCGGACTCCCCTCCTGGTCCCCCAGCCCGGCCCGGGCTTCCGGCACCCTGTGACCCTCTACCAGGGCTCAGGGCTGGGGTGGCCTTCTGTCTGCTCTTGGTCAATGCATGCCTCTGCCCTGTCAGTGCAAGACCCGGATGAGGAGCACCTGAAGAAATCAAGGTAACAGGACCAGCTCCAGCCCCTCTTTCTCATTTCCGGCCTCTCCCATTCCAGCCCTGTCTGCTCCTGGCCATCCCTAGCCAGGTTTATCCATTCTCCTTCCTTCCTTCGGGCCTCCCTCCCTGCCACCCTTCCATCTCTCCTTCCTTCCACTTCCTCCTCCTTCTCTCTCTACCCCTCAGGGAAAAGTATGTCCTGGAGCTGCAGAGCCCACGCTACACCCGCCTCCGGGACTGGCATCACCAGCGCTCTGCCCATGTGCTCAACGTGCAGTCGTAGCCCGGTCCTCGCCGGCCGGCTGCCCTCTCTGCCTCTTTCTTGCTGTTCCTCCACCCCAGGGCACCTCCCCTTGGCGCCTCCAGCTTCTGCCTACCTCACCCATCCCTCTTCTGCCCCTGGACTGAGTCTCCTGCTGGCCTGGCTCCAGCTGCCCTCCTGGCACAGGGCCCGGCTCCATCTGACACTGCTGCCTTCACTCTTTGCCCCTATGGTACTGCTGTCTGCCAGGTCTGTGCTGGCTTTTTGGGCACGCAAATAAACATCCTCAGCCCTGCTTTCTCTGCCTCTCTTCTCTATCTTCGTGGACTTGGTTTGCATTTGGGGTCGGGGGTGCTAGATGGTTCAGATCCAGTGTGGGCCCTGCCAGTCTGGGTCTCAGTGGGTGGGGGTACCCAGCAAAAGGGCCCTGCCATCAGAGAGACCCTCGTGAATGGCCCCAGAAGCGAGAGCCCTGCTTCACCTCCCAGCCCTGTGCGACAGACCAGCCAGCTTGAACCTGGCCAGGAGAAGTTGCCCTCCCCATCCCTGCCCTGAGGGGACCTGGAGTCCTCTGCTCTCCTGCACCCAGGCATCTCTCATGGGGCCAGCAGGACCAAGCTTGGGGGGTGGGGCCATGCCAGGAGCCTCGGCCGTGCAGGGCCTTGAATGACAGATCTTACAGCCAGGTGCCCAGGATGGAAGCCCCAACCCCAGCCTCAGCTACACCCCAGGAACCCTGGCCTGGTGAGAGAGCGTGGGCGTGGGCTTGGGCTTGGGGAAGGGTGGGTAACCACCAGAGGCATGGGGGGCGGGCCCCTCCAAGCTGCCCCGGGCTCTCCCCACTGTTCTGTGGTGTCCCCGGGCACCCCCATGGAGCCACTTTCCCTGGCCTTGGCAGGCCCTACCACCCCCAGTCCCACGAGTCGCCCACCCTGGGCTGTGGACCCTGCATTTGCTGAGCGCTATGCCCCGGACAAGACCAGCACGGTGCTGACCCGACACACGCAGCCGGCCACACCCACGCCTATGCAGAACCGCACCTCCATCGTGCAGGCCGCCGCTGGAGGAGGCCATGGCGGGGGCGGTGGCAGCGACGGCAAGACTCCTGTGTGCCACCAGTGCCACAGGGTCATCCGGTGGGTGGCCCCGTCCCTTCCCACCCTGGTCTTTTCCTGAACCGGAACTCCAGCCCTGGTGTCTTTCCGACCGCTGCTCCTCCCATCTATCTCCCTACTCATCTCAGCTGCCCCCTCCTCTGCCTCTCTCCAACATTTGCCCTGGTGAAATGGAGGGGGTGCCAACGACACAGCCAAGCTGCAGCCCTAGACTCGCTGCTCTCTGACCAGGAAGGGCCTCCCTGCTCCCAGCCCCCTCTGCCTTTCTCCTTCCTGCTCACTTGGTCTCTCTCTGCTAAGCCTCTTAAGTCCCTCCCTCTCTGCACTGCTCCCCAGGGACCAGCAGTCCCACAGCCCCCCAGAATCAGATCTGTGTCAGGCCCCAGAGCTTTCCTAGTTCTCATCCCAGGCTCTGCCCTGCTCTCAACTCCTGTCAGCTCTTAAGCTCTGGAAAGCACCCCCTCGTTCAGACATCCCCATTTATCTGGGATGGCCAGGTCCCTCTCCAGGCCAACGGGACACAGTGGGCACCAGGCTCAGCTCAAGTGCCCTCTGGCCTTCAGGGCTCACAGGTACTCCAGGCCTCCTGTCTCCCAGGACACCAACCCCTTGGGTTCAACTTATTAGGCTCAAGTCAGCAGTCCTCACCCAGTGTCACCTTCCTCCCTTTTCTGACGCTTCCCTTCTCCCTCACCTCCTGTCATCAAAACAGTGCAGCTTTTTAAAATATTTATTTGGCTGCATCTGATTTTAGTTGCAGCACATGGAATCTTAGTCGCAGTGCATGGGCTCAGTTGCCCTGAGGCATGGGGGGGGGTGTTAGTTCCCCAACTAGGGATTGAACCCGTGTCCCCTGCCTTGGGAGGCAAATTGTTAACCATTGCACCACCAGGGAAGTCCCACAACAGTCAGCTTTGTCTTGCTGTGTGATCTTAGGCAAGTCACCTTTCAAGCCTGTCTCTTCCCTATTTGGAGATGAAGAGAATGAACATTCCCTCCAAGGTTTCATAATAGGTGTGGGGTAAAGCCTGTGGGGTGCTGGCCAGAAACCCCGACTTCATTTGCACCCACTCCTCACTGCCCTTGCTTTCCCCTGCAGGGGCCGCTACCTGGTGGCGCTGGGCCACGCATACCACCCTGAGGAGTTTGTGTGCAGCCAGTGTGGGAAGGTTCTGGAAGAGGGTGGCTTCTTCGAGGAGAAGGGGGCCATCTTCTGCCCACCCTGCTACGATGTGCGCTATGCACCCAGTTGTGCCAAGTGCAAGAAGAAGATCACCGGCGTGAGTGGGGCTTGTGGCTGGCGGGGGACTGGGAAGACAAGCCCGACTCTTCAGCACTGAGGAGTGTTGAGCAGCTCCTGGGCTGGGGGGCTGTCCTTGCGGGACCTCGTTGGAACCTTACCAGCCTCACAATCAGGCTACTATATCGATCTCACTTTATATTAGCAAGGACTGTCTTAACAGGTGACCTAAATCCTAACTCTAAAGGGCTCAAGCAGGAGAGAATTGGCGCCAATAATCGGAAAGGCTGAGGGATGCTAACTTCTGGCCCAGTTGAATGCAGATCCTGAGGTCGTCAGGAGTCTTTCTGCCACTTGCCTCTGGTTTCATCTGTGTTGGCTTTGATCCCAGCATGCTTTTCTCTAGAAAGCGGCAAACATGCTGCTACATCAATGGCTCCAGGGTTAAATCTCCCTAGGTTAGCACCACAGAGGGAAAGAGAGCACCTCTGTGCCAGCTGATGCATCGAGTCCCAGTGCTGATGCTCATTGGCCTGGCTTGCTTCACATGTCCATCTCTGAACCAAGCCCTGTGACTAGTTGGTCAGGCCCAGGTGACACTCACCCCTGGAACGGGGTCTGATTAACTTGCCTGAACCATAGGACTGGTTCTTTGAACATAAAACCAGGGTGACATTACCCCAAGAGAGGAGGTGAGTGCTAGTCAGGCCAAAACAAGAGATGGCTACTGTGTTAGGATTGCATTCTGCTTCAGTAATAGAAAAAACTCCAGTATAGAGATTGAAACCGAAGGGGTAATCTTTACTTCAATTGCAGGAATTCCAGGGGTGGAAGAGCAGCTCGTGGATGGCTTTAGGCTTTTCCTGTGTTTTAGTTCTGAAATCCTTAGCCTCTAGGCCTTTGTCCTCAAGTTTATTGTATCATGGATGCCAGATGACTGCTCAGGCCCCAGGCTCACATTCTTGTTGCAGGTGGGAATCTGAGGGAAGGAGCGGGAGTCTTCTTTTAATGAGGTTTTGCCTTTTGGCTCTGGAAGAAAAACCAGGAACTTGCATCTTTATCTCAGTTGTTGGAATTGTTATTGTATGGGCACCTAGGCCAGTGAGGGAAGCTGGCAAATCCAGTATTTTAGCTACTGTCCTTTATAAGAGAGGAAGGCAAAAGAGGGGGTTATGACTGGCTTTTGAGAGGCTAATGCAGTCTGCCCGAATGCGTAGTCTCTGAAGATAGGCTTGAAGGACACAGAACTATTGATTTGCAAAGGCAGAAATTTAGGTTAAAAAACTTGTGATTCAAAATCCTATTCTTGGTGATTTCCTGGTGGTCCAGTGGCTAAGACTCTGTACTTCCAATGCAGGGGGCCTGGGTTCGATTCCTGGTCAGGGAACTATATCCCCTGTGCCACAACTAAGACCCCATGCAGCCAAATAAATAAATATATATATTAAAAACCTATTCTTAAAAAAAAAAAATCCTGTTCTTCCTACTGAGTCTAAATATGCAGCAGAGTCTGGCCTGGTCTCCTGCAGGGCAACCTAGCTGCCACCTGGAGCTGGGCCTGAGACTTGGGTCAGCACAGTTTATGGGCTGAGAGTGATGCCCTGTCTACCATCTGCCATTCATTGTGGACAGTGCCCCACATTGGGGATGCCCTGTGAAGAGACAGGCATGGTCCTGCCCCCAGGAACTCACACAGAGGAAGGGGACTCCAAGAGTGTCGAGGGTGAGCAGCCTAAGGAAAGAGGAGCGTAACAGGCAGGGTGACAAGTTGAGGGGGGCTCAGCTGTGCCTGTGTGGAAGCTGAAGTAGAGAGAGAGGCAGAAACTGCCCAAGGCTACAGAGCATGAGAGCCAAACCGGAGCAGCACAAGGCACTGCGGATTTCCAGCACTCATGCGTCTCCCTATTTTTGGATCCATGGGCAGAGCTTCCGGATGTGGCCAGAGAGCTCTGTGCATGTGTGTGTGCTAAGTCGCTTCAGTCGTGTCTGACTCTGTGACCCTATGGGCTATAGCCCATCAGCCTCCTCTGTCCGTGGAGACTCTCCAGGCAAGACTACTGAAGTGTGTTGCCATGCCTTCCTCCAGGGGATTTTCCCAACCCAGGGATCAAACCTGCATCTCTTACATCTCCTGCATTGGCAGGAGGGTTCTTTACTACTAGCACTACCTGGGAAGCCCAGAGAGCTCCGTAGTAATGGTCATATTAGTGATAACTGCCTTGACCACAAGTGATAGAAAAAATACTGACAGCTGTTTCTCACCTAAGGAAGTGGAGAGGTGGGCAGTCTGGGACATGTAGGCAGATCCAGGCTCCTGTATCTTGTTTCTCCAACATCTTAGCATTGACTTACTTAACCACTTATAGTCCAAGATACTTCTTGAGCTTCAGGCAAAATTTCCATGCTCCAGTCGGCTTGCTGTTCAGTTGCTTAGTGGTGTCAAACTCTTTACAACCCCATGGGCTGCAGCACGCCAGGTTTTCCTGTCCTTCACTATCTCCCAGAGTTTGCTCAAACTCATGTCCATTGAGTTGGTGATGCCGTCCAACCATCTCGTCCTCTGTCATCTGCTTCTCCTCCTGCCTTCAATCTTTCTGAGCATCAGGGTCTTTTCCAATGAGTCAGCTCTTCATATCCGGTGGCCAGAGTACTGGAGCTTCAGCCTTAGCATCAGTCCTTCCAATGAATATTCAAGGTTGATTTCCTTTAGGATTGACAGGTTTGATCTCTTTGCAGTCCAAGGGACTCTCAAGAGTCTTCTCCAGCACCACAGTTCAAAAGCATCTATTCTTTAGCATTCAGCCTTCTTTATGGTCTAACTCTTACACCTGTACATGACTATTGGAAAACTATAACTTTGATTATACAGACCTTTGTCAGGAAAGTGATGTCTCTGCTTTTTAATATGCTGTCTAGGTTCATCATAGCTTTTCTACCAAGGAACAAGCACCTACCTGTCTTTTAACAAGCACCTGGCTGCAGTCACTGTCCACAGTGATTCTGGAGCCCAAGAAATAAAGTCTATCACTGTTTCCATTTTTCCCAGTCTATTTGCCATGAAATGATGGGACTGCATGCCATGATCTCAGTTTTTTGAATGTTGAGTTTTAAGCCAGCTTTTTCACTTTCCTCTTTCTCCTTCATCAAGAGGCTCTTTAATTCCTCCTTGCTTTCTGCCATTAGGGTGGTGTCATCTGTATATCTGAGGTTGTTATTTCTCCCAGCAAGCTTGATTTCTGCTTGTGATTTATCCAGCCTGGTATTTTGCATCATGTACTCTGCATTTAAGTTAAATAAGCAGAGTGACAATATGCAACCTTGACATACTCCTTTCCCAATTTTGAGCCAGTCCATTGTTCCATGTATGGTTCTAACTGTTGCTTCTTGACCTGCATACAGATTTCTAAGGAGGCAGGTCAGGTAGTCTGGTATTCCCATCTCTTTAAGAATTTTCCAGTTTGTTGTGATTCACACAGTCAAAGGCTTTAGCATAGTCAATAAAGCAGAAGTTTTTCTGGAATTTTCTTGCTTTTTCTATGCTCCAGCAGATGTTGGCAATTTGATCACTGGTTCCTCTACTTTTCTAATCCAACTTGTACATCTGGAAGTTCTTGGTTCACATACCATTGAAGCCTAGCTTGAAGGATTTTGAGCATTACTTTGCTAGCTTGTGAAATGACCACAATTATGTGGTAGTTTGAACATTCTTTGGCATTGCCCTTCTTTGGAATTGGAATGAAAACTGACCTTTTCCAGTCCTCTGGTCATTACTGCATTTTCTAAATTTGCTGACATATTGAGTGCAGCACTTTAATAGCATCATCTTTTAGGATTTGAAATAGCTCAGCTGGAATTCCATTACCTCCATTAGGTTTATTCATAGTAATGCTTCCTAAGGCCTACTTGACTATACTCCAGGATGTCTAGCTCTAAGTAAGTGACCACACCATCATGGTTATCCAAGTCATTAAAACCTTTTTTGTACAGTTTGTGTATTCTTGCCACCTCTTCATAATCTCTTCTGCTTCTGTTAGGTCCTTGCTGTTTCTGTCCTTTATTGTGCCCATCTTCACATGAAATATTCCCTTGCTCTCTCTTAATTTTCTTGAAGATATTTCTAGTCCCATTCTATTGTTTTCCTCTATTTCTTTGCATTGTTCACTTAAGAAGGCTTTCTTATCTCTTCCTGCTAGTCTTTGGAACTCTGCATTCAGTTGGGTATATTTTTTCTCCTTTGCCTTTTGTTTCTCTTCTTTTCTCAGCAGGAAATTGGAAAAGGAAGAAGTAGTGGAAGGTTCTTAGGAGCCATCTTTAGATGAGTTCACTTCAGTCACTCAGTCGTGTCCAACTCTTTTTGACCCCATAGACTACAGCATGCCAGTGAAGGACAGGGAACTGTCCTTCAACTCCTGGAGCTTGCTCAAACCCATGTCCATCGAGTCGGTGATGCCATCCAACCATCTCATTCTCTGCTGTCCCCCTCTCTTCCTGCCCTCAATCTTTTCCAGCATCAGGGTCTTTTCCAATGAGTCAGTTCTTCACATCAGGTCACCAAAGTACTGGAGTTTCAGCTTTGGCATCAGTCCTTCCAATGAATATTCAGAACTGATTTCCTTTTGGATTGGGCTATGGGTGCCATCCAACCCTTCTGCTTCCATCCCATAGCCCAGAACTCAGTCACATGACATTACTGAGCTGCAAGGGAGGCTGGGAAATATAGTCTGTTTGGTACAGGTGTGTGCCCAGCAAAAAGTGAGGATTCCATCAGTAGACTGGAAGGGAAGAAAGGATGCTATCACAGCTTTGTGTTGTGGGTCATTTTCTATGTGTGGGCATCCAGTTTGACAATTATAGTATGAAGTCAGTTTGATTATTCTCATCTTACAGATGAGGAAATTTTGCCCAAGATTACAGTCATTTCCCCACCAGCCTAATTGATACCGTATTGGACTGTTCTATCAGAATGGGCTGGCACCCAGGACCTTTCATTTTTAAATTTTATTTATGTATTTATTTTTGGCTGCACTAAGTCTTCCATTGCTGTGCAGGGTTTTCTCTATTTGCAGCAAGCGGGGGCTACTCTCTAGTTGTGGTGTATGAGCTTCTTATCAAGGTGGCTTTTCTTGTTGCGGAGCACAGGCTCACTAGTTGTGGCACACAGGCTTAGGTGGCCCATGGCATGCGGGATCTTCCCTGACCGGGGATTGAACCAGTGTCCCCTGCGTTGGCAGGCAGACTCTTAACCACTGGACCACCAGGGAAGTCCCCCCAGGACCTTTCTTAAGCTGGCATCTGGATTTGCTTCCCACAGATCCTTATGTTCTGTTCACTGACAGCCCCGCCTGCATTACATCGCACTCTCGTCCTGCCCTGCCCCAGTTCTAGGTGGACAAAGTTATTGCCCAGGCTGCAGCTACAGAGGCAAGGCTGATGGAGCCTGACTAGCTCCTGGGTCCTAGAGTATGCCCAGAGTGAGATGGTGAGCCCTGCTCCTGCCGCAGCCCAGTGGTTCCACATGTGGCCCAGGGGCACTCAGCTTCCCCTCTTGCAGGGGCTGCAGGGGCTGACAGATCACAGCCTCCAGCGGGGTCGGTGGTGGGGTGTGTGCGGGGGGATGGGCAGGAACCTAACTGTCCCAGTTTACCAAGGGCTTCAGGCTCTTAGAGCTCAGAGCATGGGGAAACACAGGACCATCTGGTTGATTCAGCAGACTTGGAGGGGAGCTCTGGGGGATGGGATGGACACTTTAGAGGGCACATGTCCTAGTCTGGGGACCCTCTGGAATACTGTTGTCAAGCCTTACCACTCACCACCAGCCCCCATCACTCCAGTGCTTCACCAACACAGGCAGCTCCATCTTGCCAGTGCAATGTTACCTTCACCGCAGGGCCTTTGCACAGGCTGTACTCTGCTGGAAATACCCTTTAGCACTCTCTTTACCTCATTCTTTCTCATCTGGGATTCAAATAACACTTCCTCAGGGGCACTTGCCCTGATACCCACCCTCCCACCTGGCTAGGCTCCGCACTGTTTGCTTACTACCCTCCAATCTTTTTGTCCCATCTCTTCTCCAGTGTGAAATTCATGGGCCGGGACCAGGGCTCTTTTGCTCATGTGTAATGCTGTACCTCATATATAGGAAGGGCTTCCCTGGTGGCTCAGTTGGTAAAGAGTCTGCCTGCAATGTGTGAGACCTGGGTTTGATCCCTGGGTCAGGAAGATTCCCTGGAGGAGGGCATGACAACTCACTCCAGTATTCTTGCCTGGAGAATTCTATGGACAGAGGAGCCTGGTGGGCTACAGTCCATGGGGCTGCAAAGAGTAGGACGTGACTGAGCGACTAACACACTAACACATGTATAGACAGTGGTCACTTAATACTTGAAGGAGTGAATGCAAGTGGCCTCTAAGCTGAACTTAATCATTAGGAGGCATTAGCTTGGACAAGGGTCAGGAGAGAATGCTCCAAGCAGAGGGAACAGCTTGTGTCACAAGGCAACACCTGGGGAGGGTGTGAGACGAGGTGGAATTCAGGGCAGGGCCATGTTAGGGGTTCTGGAGCTGGGGACTGCTGAGGTCAGATGTGCCTCAGTGTGCTTCCCCTGGGGCAGAGGGAGACAACTGGAGGAGGGGAACGGAACCGCTAGGCCTGGGTTAGGGTGATGGGACGGCAGGGGCAGACAGATGTAGGAAGCTTTGGGCATAAGGTAGACACGGAGAACTGGCTCAGAGACCTGCCTCCTTGCCCGCACGCCCACTGGGCCCGGATCTGGGCTCCCCATGCTCCTCCCCAGACCCTGTCCTGTTGACCCACAGCCAAGTTCCTTCCCCCAGCCCTTGTCTTCTCCTTGCAAAGAGGCAACACCAGGCAGTGGGAAGAGCCAACTTTGGAGTGAGCCAGACTTGGGTTTGAAACACATTTCCGTCATCTATTGACTGTGTGATCTGGGACAGATCACTTTCTCTGGACCTTGCTAAAATGGGAGTGGCAGTAACTTCCTGGCCAGGCTGGTTGTGAGGTATATGTGAGAAATGACAGATTTTTTTTTTGGACTGTGCCACACACCTTGTGTAGTTGCCCAGCCACGGGTTGAACCTGCACCTTTAGCAGTGAGAGCAGTGAATCCGAACAACTGGACCACTAGGGAATTCCCTCGACAGTTTCTGTAGTGGGCACGGACAGGCCAGCTGAGAGCTAGGTGCTCCCCATACTTACGTCTTGCTTTGTCCACACTGTTTCTTTCCTTGTTATTATTTTAAAACTTAGTTATTTGTTTTTGGCTGCTCTGGGTCTTCGCTGCTGCGCGCAGGCTTCCTCTAGTTGCAGTGAGTGGGGCTGCTCTCTGGCTGTGGTGCGCAGGCTTCTTGCTGCGGTTCTCCTGTGGTGGCACACGGGCTCTAGGGCACGCAGGCTTCAGTGCTGGCAGCTTGAGGGCTCAGTAGTTGTGGCGCACAGTCTTGGTTGTCCCTCGGCATACGGGATCTTCCTGGTCCAGGGATCGAACTTGTGTCCTCTGCATTGGCAGGCAGACTCCTAACCAGACCATGAGAGAAGCCTCTGTTTCATTTTTAAAGTAATAGCCAATATTGAAAAATTGGATTTGACTTTAACACCTGGATTTCAACCTGAGCCTTGTAGGCATTCCTGAATGAAGCGGTCAGCACCACCCCTGCACACGGAACACGTGCTCTCCCATGACACAGTCCCCACCTTGCCCCACTGTGTATGCCACCTAGCCTTGGCAGGCACTGGGTCTGCTACCCCTGGCCTCAGATGTGGGACCATCCTTATGGCAACCCAGCAAAGCTGGGATCAGGCTCCCAATTCAGCAGTGAAGGAGCCAGGGTCATGAGGAGTAAAGCTGTTGGGCAAGCCACCCAGCTAAGATGTGGCTGAACCCACAATCTGACATCCCCTGGGGCTCCACACTGCCTTCTGCCTGCCCCAGGAGTGAGTGCCGCTCACCCGGCTGGCCCCAGGGAGAGCTCAGCCCACCTGTGGCCTCTGCTCTGACAGGCCTCCAGTAGAGCAAGTTAACTTAGCTCACAAGCACTCATGATGCCTACCCATGGGCCAGGCACTGTTGGGATATACCAGCTAGCAGAAACGTTAATAGTTCATGCCCTCCGGGACCTCATACTAGATCGGGAAGAAGGCGGTGGGGAGCAGACAATAAGCAAGAGACATAAGAGGTAAATTACCTGGTGGTATGCTAGTATGGGGGGCTTCCCCAGTGGCTCAGATGGTAAAGAATCCGCCTGCAATGCAGAGACCCAGGTTCGCATGGGTCAGGAAGATCGCCTGGAGAAGGGAATGGCAACGCACTCCAGTATCCTTGCCTGGGGAATTCCATGGACAGAGGAGCCTGGCGGGCTACAGTCCACAGGGTCGAAAAGAGTCAGACATGACTGAGTGGCTAACACACACACACACACGTTAGTATGGGAAGAAAGTACAGAGTTCAAGCTATTGGAAGCATGACTTTGGGAAGCGGGGTTGGCATATGAGCTGATCGTGTCAGCGTGGGCCTCAAGGGGAAGGTGATCTTTGGGCAGAATCTTGAAGGGGATGAGGGCTGAGCCTAACACATATCTGGGCCAAGCAGTCCAGGTAGAGGGGGCAGCTGGTAGGGAGCCCTACGATGGTGTGCCCGGTGCATCAGCCATGGACAAGAGGTCACATGGGGAGAGCAGAGGGACGGAAGCCAGTCTTGCTGGCCTCTGGGCCTTTCCCCGGGCTTTGCCCTTTGCTCAGAGCAATGTGGACCAGGCAGGGACTCAAGCAGAGGAGAAGCTGGCCGAGCACAGGTTGATATCAGGCTGTCAGGGGCAGAGGAAAGAGCACAGAAGCCAGTTTGTGCACTTATCCAGGTCAGAGGTGCCCAAGGCTCACATTCCACATCAGGTAGGCTGTGAGAAGTGGCCAGTATCTGGATGCATCTTGAAGGAGAGCCTGGCCGGATTTCGGAGTGGATCCGAAATAAGGGACAAAACAAGGAATTTGTCCCATGCAGATGGAGTCACCATCCACTGAGACAGAGACGCTGTGGGAATGTACAAGGCCTAGCCTGTGGAGATTGGGAGCAGAACTTCAGACGTAGCATAGTGAACAGCCACCAGGCTTCCCTGGTAGCTCAATTGGCAAAGAATCCTCCTGCAATGCAGGAGATCCCAGTTTGATTCCTGGGTTGGGAAGATCACCTGGAGAAGAGACAGGCTGCCCACTCCAGTATTCATGGGCTTCCCTGGTGGCTCAGATGGTAAAGAATCCTCCTGCAATGAGGGAGACCTAGGTTCAATCCCTGGGTTGGGACGATCCCCTGGAGGAGGGCATGGCAACCCACTCCAGTGTTCTTGCCTGGAGAATCCCCATGGACAGAGGAGCCTGGCAGGCTACAGTCCATGGGGTTGCAAAGAGTCGGACATGACTAAGCACAGCACAGCACAGTGGATGCCTTGGGATTGGAGAGAGAGTGGGAGCAGTGGGTGTGCAGATAAAACATTTATCTGGAAAGAAAGAGGGCCCCAGCCGGCCTGCCTATGTCCTGGACTCTGGAGGGGAGGGTGCCAAGTTACCAAGTGACTGTTGCTTCCTCTTAGGAGATCATGCATGCCCTGAAGATGACCTGGCACGTGCATTGCTTCACCTGCGCGGCCTGCAAGACACCCATTCGGAACAGGGCCTTCTATATGGAGGAAGGGGCTCCCTACTGCGAGCGAGGTATGGGCTGGGACAGGTGAGAAGGCGGTGCTGGGTGAGGGGGCAGGGTGTGGGCAGGGGAGAACCCAAGTCCCCCCCACCCCCCCCGCCCCACTTTTCTTCTCTCTGTGTCTCCAGACTATGAGAAGATGTTTGGCACAAAATGCCGAGGCTGTGACTTCAAGATTGATGCTGGGGACCGCTTCCTGGAGGCGCTGGGCTTCAGCTGGCATGATACGTGCTTCGTGTGCGCAGTGAGTGCCCCTCTTCGGACTCAGGCCCTGTCCCCAGAGCCTCGTGTTCTTCACCTGCCTCCCTCCCACCCCTGCCTCTGGGATTTCTAAGAGGTTGGGAAGGGCCCTCTCCTGCTTCCCCCACCCCTCGTAACTGCACCTTGGCCCTTCCCAGATATGTCAGATCAACCTGGAAGGAAAGACTTTCTACTCCAAGAAGGACAAGCCCCTTTGCAAGAGCCACGCCTTCTCCCATGTGTGAGCCCCTCCCACTCATTGCTGCCCACCCCAGCCTACCCAACCCGAGGGGTTTGCTGAGTCTGGAACCATCGCCCCAGATTTCTGGGTAGGGCTAGCAAAAGTTGCCCCAACCCCAACTCCTGGCCTGAGCCTGGGGTCCCCTGGGCCCCACCCCCATCACCTCCCCCCACTCCCTCCACCACCCCCGCACACTGGTGCTGGCCACACCGGCCCCTGCTCACGTCTAGTGCTATAATAAATCTGTCTCCAGCTGCATCTGGTGTGTGCCTCCCCCTGTGCATCAAGAAAGGTGGGATCTGAGGCCTGTAGCAGGGTGGAGATTAAATTCTCCAGGGCTGACCGTCCTTGTGGTCCCATGATGGGGACAGGGAGGACTCACAGTCAGCAGGAGAAGGCAAAGGGGAATCTCACGTGCTGGGCCCAGGACCCACAGAAGTCGGGGGTGCCTGGTCTGGCTTGGCTTGGCAGTCAGAGAAGAGGAGTTGGAGGGGCATCCTCAGGGGTGTAACGTGGAAAATGGTACACCCAAGTGAGGGTCCAGAGGGGCTGCTGCCATCGTATGCTGCTGGCGAAGAAAGGGGGCTGGAGAAGGCAGCCTCCCAGTTCTGGAAGTGCCAGGATGCCTGGAAGTGCCAGGATGAGGAGCTGGGACTGCTTCCTGAGGGCACGGTGGGGAGAGCCAGGCAAGAATGTTCAGATCTGTGTTGTAGAAAGAGCGCCTGGGAGCCATGAGCAGAAGGAGGGAGCCTAGGAGGAGGGGCAGGGCTCTGGGGAAGGAAGGCGCAACAAGCCACATGGCAGCGACTGGTCCAGGCCTGGAGCAGAGACGTGGGGGATGAGAGGTGAGAAGAGGAAGGACGGCACTGGAGTATACCAGTCATTCCTCCCATTGTCTCACGCAGCAACCCTGTTGGGTGTCTGCACGTAGTCTCATCTTATAGATGAAAGCTTAGGAGACCTGATCAGAGCTGCACTGCCCCTGAGCACACGAGCCAGGCCTGAAGCTGGGCACACCGTCCTGAGACTGGCTGGCGCTGAGTGCCACGCTCCTGAGATGCCCCTGCAGAGCTCGCCTCTGCCTGCTGCCTCCAAAGCTGGAGGCTCTGGCGGTGGCCCCATCTTTCCCCGGGGCCTCCTGCATCCCACTGGTGCCCTCCACTACTCCAAGGGGACTGTCATCCCTCCTACTCCAGGCCTGAACTGGAGGGGGACTGTCATCCCTCCTACTCCAGGCCTGAACTGGAGGGGGACTGAGGAGAGGCCCCAAACTAGACCAGGAGAATATGTTGCGCCCATAGCCACCTGTCCTCCAGGGCTTGCTGGCATGAGGAACTTTATAGCACATCTGAAGTTGTTGGCGTTCTTGGCAGGTACCCAGGCCTGTTCCCTTTAAGAGAAGAGCAGGGCCTCTGTGCTGTGTCTTCTCAAGGACCCCTGGAGCAGGAGTGCAGGACTCTGCGTGTCACTTTCATGATATCTTACCAGCATCTAAAACAGTGCCTAGAACACAGTGGATGCCCAATGAATGTTTGTTGAATGACTGAATGAGGTGCCTACAAGACATTTAGGAGACAAATCCAGGAAGCAGCTGAAGATTCAAGTCTAGATACACCTTGGATTAAATTTGGGAGTGAGTTCAGGGCAGTTATCGCAGGTACTTAACCATTATCGCAGATATTTAACCATTATCACAGATGCTTAGAGAGGGGCCCCGGCAGGTCACATGAGGAGTAAAGCAGGTAGGATGTGGTTTTCTTTCAACATTCCTAGCATATTCAGTGAAGAGTATCTCACTTCCACAAGCAAGTGTACACTCTCTCCCTTTTCTCTTGAACCATGAAGACCTCCCAGTCCATCCTTGGTTTCCATGGATACAAGCCAGCAAGAGCACAGGGGCGGATGGTTAAGTGCTGGTCTGTGGGGAGCCTTCTGGGGGCAGCCGTGTGGGAATGCTGAACTGGGGCAAGACCTGCCAGTTTACCAACAACATCCAGAGATCGACACTTTTATGTGAAATTTGGTTTTTCAATGTTGGCAACTAAGATTTTTTAAAATCTTATTTAAATACATAATGTGGACCAAATCCAGTGTGATGAGGGCTGGGCCCCAGCCTAGAGAAGATAGGAGAGATGGGGAAGCAGCAACATCACAGGGCAGGGCAGAGAAAGCAGAAGGATCCGCCAGAAGTGAAGGACCACAGCCTCTGGAGGGAGGGAGTTTGGGGCAGGGAAGCCTGGGTGGGCAGGAGTGTTTCTAGAAGTGTCATCCAGGCAGATAAGGCCAAGGAGTCCCCATGGCATTTTGCAACAAGGTGACGTTTGCCATATCAGTTTTGCTGAGAGCTGGGGCCAGTGCCAAGATTGGAGGAAGAAGGGGAGGGTGTAGAGAGTGAGTCGACGAGAGAGTGTGGACAGCTGTCTTAAAGGGCTTCACTGTGGTGGGCCCTGAGGACCTCTAGCAGCTGTGGTCAGCTGAACTGCCAGGAGGGGTGAAGGAGGCAGCTTGAAGGCCCCTGCCAAGGGGAGGTGGTTGAAGAAGCTGGAGGGCAGATGTAAGGGGAGAGTAAAGGGGAGAGCAGGGAGCTGGGGACTGAAGCTCAGGAAAGCGGAGCTTTTTAGATGGAAGTCAAGCATGGGGCACTTGCTCTGAACAGCTATCTCTCTGCTGGAAGCACAGAGCAATCACTTCGATGTCATTTAATCATTAAAACAAGCTTAAAAGAGATGTCATTAAAGGCACGTTTCAGAGGGACCTGAAGCTCAGAAAGGGGAAGTGACCTCTCCGGAGCCACCCAGCGGCCCAGGTCCAGTCCACGCTTCCCAGATTAAAGGCGGAGCTGCTTCCCACTGCACCTCCCAGCTCCCCACCCCTCTCCAGCACCGAGCTGCAGGGATCACTGTGTTCTCAAGTTTCAGGTGCAAGGCTATACAGGTGGAGGCCAAGGGTACTGGGAAATGTCTTTGTACCAGGCACGGGAGGCCATTAGCGCCCCGGGAGTGTGCAGTCCCCCCAACCGAGGGGGCAGAGCCCTTGGCAGGGGGCTGAGTGGGCAACTGGAGAGACAGCAGGCCAGGGAGGGGCTTTTTCCAGTTCTGAGCGGCTTGCACTCATTTGAAATCAGCAGGGAGACAGGCAGTGGAGAACAGGGTACACAGGCAAGGACTGATGATTCTCGATTCCGGTGCAGCTTCTCTGTGCTGGGCCCCACGTGGGCCTTGGAACACTCACGGTACACAGGGTCCTGCTACAGGAAGGGAGCTGAGGCCAGGGACTACGGGGCCTAGCCCCATGGCACACACACGGAGCAGCCACGGAGGCTGTGATTTGAGCCTGAGTTGGCCTGAATCCAAAGCCAAACCTGAAACTGGAGGAAGAGTTCCTCCCCAGCTAGGACCTAAAGTGGGGCAAGGAAGGGGGTTCCGGGGGCTACTGGTGGGGCAAGAGGCAGCTTTCTGGGAACCTGCAGAGAACTCAGGAGGCTGGGACCAGCCCTGAATAGCCAAGGAAGTTCCCAGGACCAGCCTAAGTTCTCCCACTCAGGACCTGGGGGCACTAGAAAGTCAACTTTGTTTTCATCCTTGTCTCTTGCCACTAACAAAAATGACTATTACTTGGAGACTGGGTCAACTAGGAAGGACTCTCAGCTGCAATTCAAACTAGTCTAAGCAAAAAACGAGGATAATTTGTCTCATTTAACTGAAATGGTCAATGGCTTCAGACACAGCAGGTTCCAGTACCCATGGATGTCAGGATGTTTTCAGGAGTCTGATTCCCCGCCTTCCGCCTTTTCTCAGTTCTGGCTTTAGTCTCAGGCAACTCATCCCATTATCAGCCAAAATGCCCCTCAACCAGCTCTAGGCCCACATCCTGCCAGCTCAGCAGCCCATCAGAGACTATTGATGGTTCCAGCAAGAAGTCCCAGGGCTGATACCCATTGGACTTAATGGATCATGTGTCCACTTCTGAAGCAGCCACTGGTTCTGACCCACTGGCCTGAGTCACATGCTGTTCTCTGGAGCCTGCATTGGAAAATCAACTGGAAGACGGGCAGGGATGGCTGACCATGGATGTCCACTGCACTGGGCAGACATCTCACTCTCCACACTCAGGATCCCTGCCCCCCAGACTCCTTCCCTTGGCCCCACAACTGTAGCCTCAGGAACTACTTCTGACCAAATTCCAGGCCAGGCTAGCCCCTGGATGTAGAAATAGGGGTACTAGAAGGAGAAGCAGGGAGAGTGTGTGCTATGCTGAAAGGATGCAGGACAGACAGGTTTCTATACGGACTTTGCCACTCTGTGCCTTACAGGGCGAGTCACTGCCCCTCTTTGAGCCTCGGTTCTCCCATTTGTGAAATAGAAATGATAGCCAACATGTCAATAGCACCTACTTTGTGCAGCTGCCGTTTTAAATGCTTTCTACTTATTTCTTAAATCCTCAGCAAACCCTATGATGTGGATACCATCAGTATCATCCCCATTTTACAGCGAGACAAGAAAGGTCAAGCAGAAGAGTCTACAGTCACACTGTAGCAAGGTCTGTGCAACTCAGGAGCAGAGCTAAGTGGTGAAAGTGGCTGGGCCCATGCCAGGGGCAAGATCTGAAAAGTGACTGGAGCATTGTCATGATTAGGGCGAGACTTCTGAAGGTATGCTTGGTAGGAACCTGCAAGAGACAGGCTGAGGGCAGAGAAAGCTCCAGGCGCTGAAAAAGTCCTGAAACCTACGTGTCAGCCTTGAAGCCTTATCTGAGAGGTGTGGGGGAGCAACGAGCAGGAAGGTGGGCGTGGGAGGGTGGGGCTGCAAGGAGGAAGGGGAAGGGGTTTTTGCTTTCTAAGCCTTCACCCTGTCACATTTTATCCTCACCACGTGTTATCAAAGAGGAAACTTAGGGAAAGGATTTTACTCAAGGTCACAAAGCAAGTGACCAGCCTAGGGACATGAATCCTCCTTCTTTCTTAGCTTTTCCACTCTGGGGACTGAGGAGCCTTTGGACAAGCCTCCCAATGCTGGAGGGGGCAGGGGGAGCAGCTGGGAGAGGGGACGAGCTCAGGATCTTGGGGAGGGAGAGACTTGGAGGGTGATCAGTGCTGGGAGTGGTAGACATAAAAGCCTGGTGGGAGAGCCTCCAAGGAGGCACCCAGCATCCACCCACCATGGCTGAGCATGTGGGTTTCAGGGCTTTGCAGAGGAGGGAGTGATCATTAGTCACCCTGTTCCCACTGGTTGAGGAAACTGAGGACTACAACGGGGCCA